TCTCACTTCAAGGTTTCAGCCGTAACCGGGGGATAAAAATCAAACTACAAATTAAAGTTATTTGTTCTTTTAAAAGGAGGACCACAGTAATGACATGGAGAAACAAATGATCAGCGGTGGTCTTGACCGGTGTTAATTTAAAATCTGGAGTCCGCCAGTCTGAGACAAGACCAAGACCCTCAAAGTGTCTACTGAGTCGCAGGAAGACTTTAATATTGGAAGCAGCCGACGGGCGATTTAAGGAAACATGATTCTGAGTTTTTAAATGTACAAAAAGAGTTGATAATAACTTCTTATTTTATCTGGCTGATGATTCCAGTTCGGAGTTTTACATTTAAAGGCACGTCTGCAGATTTATGTTTCGGTGTTTGGGAAGAAGAGGAAAGGTTGCTGTGAGAGTCTGAGTGAGGGTGAGGATGTGTGTGTGGCACGAGGTCTTGTTTTATTAAAGTAGTTACGTCTAAAGATGCTGCAGGAGCGCTGAGGTGTGACCAGTTCAGAGAGATTTAAGATTTATTCTAATGAGGACAGAACGCAGCCTCTAATTTTTAAAAGACTTGAAATGTTCCACTGTAAACTATTCACAGTTTAAATAAAGTTCAGTCATTTCTATAACGACAATTACAACTTTTGGTAAATACAATTGTGGGAGCGTGTATTAGTGTGTGTGTGCGTGTATTAGTGTGTGTGTGCGTGTATTAGTGTGTGTGTGCGTGTATTAGTGTGTGTGTGCGTGTATTAGTGTGTGTGTTTGCAAATGTGTGTGCGTGTGTGTGTAGTGTTTTTCTTAAGTCTTTTATACTTTTAAAACCAGTCATTACTAAACACAAACAAGTGCACACACACACACACACACACACACACACACACACACACACACACACACACACACACACACACACACACACACTGTTCAGCTTCAGTACAGTTGTGGGCGTGAACAGGTGAGCTTCACCTGTCTGAGGTGTGATGATCATGCAGAGGCTCCGTGACATCATCAGAGGGGTGCACAGCCAGGGGGTGGGACTTACCTTGATGGACAGTTTGGTTGCCATGGTGACCTCCAGCTGATCGGGTTGCTGTAGAGAGTTCGACCTTCTCTCTGTTCTTTCTTTTTTACTTCTTCCTCTCTGTTTGTCCTCTGTTTCCTGTCGTTCTCCTCTTTCTTTCTTCTTACACCCCCCTCACCCCCCCTCCCTCCCTCCCTCACCCCCCCCCTCTCCCTCCTCTTTTCTCCTCTCTCTCTCCCTGTTCTCTCTCTCTCTTTCTCTCTGTTGGTTTCAGTCTTTGCATTATAATTTCTCTCTTTCAGAGCTGTGAGGACGCTGAGGTAGGCTCCAACTCTCTTCCTGTTTCACACACACACACACACACACACACACACACACACACACACAGGTTTAAATGGACGAGTGTGTTCTCTCAGAATCAGAACCGGGTTCAGTTTGTTGTGTGAGTGCAGATCAATAAAAACAGTAAATAGTAAAAGATGTTGTTCGGACCATGAAGCAGAAACTTAAACTATAAAGAACAACATTACAGGTGTAAGATTTTGGAAAAAAATAACATTACTATCTTGTTTATTCTTTATCCATACATGACCATATTTGGACAAGAGGGTGGAGCCTGTGGATCAACAAACAGGAAGTTAATGGATGTTTCTAGCTCGGTCAGCATGTGTATCTGTAATTTACAGTTAGTGTGATTAAATGAACATCGTCCTTCTTCATTTTAAAAACAAGAAATGACCATCCAACCAAACACTGAGCAAGGCTTTTCTCATGTCTCCATGGTGGTGAGCTGTCAATCTCAGGTAGCCCCACCCCTAACTCCTCCCCCTCTTCTTGGTCTCTTCGACTCTCAATGGACCATAATTGACTATGTGAACATCATGATGTGTTGAAGAAGACTTAAGACTAGAGAAATAATTACTGAAGGAATAAATCAACATTCTATCGAACACTTCTAAACAATCAGAATTGGTTTTACTACCAGTGGAGTCGCCCCCTGCTGGACATCAGAAAGAATGCAGGTTTAAGGCACTTCTTTATTAAATCCTAATGCTCTGTCCTCTTCATCAAACGCTCCATGACAAGATCTGATCACCTCATCTGTTTCTTCTGCTCTTAGGACTCAGCTGAACATCTGACCTCCTGCAGCCGTCTGACCTCTGACCTCTGACCTCTGAAGGAGCCATGAGCCTTCAGCAGAACTCTCTCGGTCCTGGTGACACCTTTAGTCTGTCTGCTGTGAGTCCAAACACCCATCATCATCATCATGTGATGTCACTGTGATGTCCTTGTGAATAACGTCAAATTCAGGCTCTGTTGTCATGGTAACAGGATGCTGTGATGTCATCAGGTCACATAGGGCACAGAGCGGACTTTTAATGGTTGAACTAAATCAGTGCTGATCTTTGACCCGTGGTGTTTTTCTATTGGTTCATCATTAATATGTTGGCCCTCGATGCCAACATATCGAATAGCGAATGTTGTTCTCAAACTGCAACGCAGCCGCCCACCACTAGCTGGGGCTGTAGCCATCAACTGTCTGTAGCTCTTATTAACGGGCCATACTCTCCTCGCTCTACTACCTGGATGTACCAGGTTACATGGTTTTATTCTTGTTTGTAACAGCTCAAAAAGTGACAGACAGAATAAGAAATCACCATGGTAACAGCAGGCACGCCTGTTTCATCTGTCTTACCTTCCGATCGTGAAAGAAACGTTTAACTGCCCCCTGCTGGTTCATCTAATTACATCCTACGTGTGTGAAAATATCCTCCTCCTCTCTCCTCCAGTCTCTGGCTCCTCCCCCTCCACGTTGCCATAGCGATGAAGAAGAGGAGGATCTGAACAAGGCTTTTGATGTTCAGGGTTTTCAGGAGATCCTCTGTCCTGCAGCTCGCAGCCCACCGGAGAAACGCCGAGTGTACGACGAGCAGGACTACGAGGGTGAGGACCGAGAAGTCAGGATGTCAACGAGTGTTTGATCTGTCAGATTAGATTATACTGTCATTCTGTTCATTACCACATGCTTTAAACCGCTTACATACATGGGCACATTATGCAGGAGGTTGTCTGTAACACCTTGGAACCAACAAATCACTGAAACATCATTTCTGTTGCCATGGTATCAAACTGATCTGGGATCAGCAGGTTGAGGAACTTTAAACAGGTTCAAGAAGTCTTCTGACGGTGTTAAAGGATCTGTGTGTCTTCAGAAACATTCAGGGTGATTACTGCGGTAACAGCCTTAACCACATCTCAAATAAATCAGAAATGTGAATCTTCTTCTGCAGACCACCGTCACTTCTCTCCCCACGTCCATCATCCTCTGTCCAAACCCCCCGCTGACATCAGGAGGAGGAGGACCAATGAGGAGGAGAGGCGAGGCTCCGCCCCTAACGCTGCAGCCACCATAGAAGAAGATCAGGAGGAGGAGGAGGGTGGGGAAGCGTCTTACCATGAGGAGAGGGAACGAACGACCACGCCCACCAGGTGAGATAACGTCAATAAAACTGAGATATATCTCCCCTGTATGTTACTCAATCTGTAACTCCTCCCCCTCCACAGTGACCCGCCCACCAAGTCGTCCAATCACAACGGCCTCTCACCTGGCTGCATTGTGACCAATGTCCCTGCAGATGATGCTGACGAGGCGGAAACTCTGCCATCAGTCGATCTGGACGGCATCAAGAGTCAGTACACCTGCTTCAAACTTCACCTTGAATACACACGTTTACTTTTTATTACATTGTATACACTACATAGAGCTCTATGAGGACTGACTCACTGCAGGAGACAGACTCTAGTGGACACTGGAGGAACTGCAGCTGTAAAGTTAGACATTTTAACATAGAGCTCTATGAGGACTGACTCACTGCAGGAGACAGACTCTAGTGGACACTGGAGGAACTGCAGCTGTAAAGTTAGACATTTTAACATAGAGCTCTATGAGAACTGACTCACTGCAGGAGACAGACTCTAGTGGACACTGGAGGAACTGCAGCTGTAAAGTTAGACATTTTAACATGGAGCTCTATGGGGACTGACTCACTGCAGGAGACAGACTCTAGTGGACACTGGAGGAACTGCAGCTGTAAAGTTAGACATTTTAACATGGAGCTCTATGGGGACTGACTCACTGCAGGAGACAGACTCTAGTGGACACTGGAGGAACTGCAGCTGTAAAGTTAGACATTTTAACATAGAGCTCTATGGGGACTGACTCACTGCAGGAGACAGACTCTAGTGGACACTGGAGGAACTGCAGCTGTAAAGTTAGACATTTTAACATGGAGCTCTATGAGGACTGACTCACTGCAGGAGACAGACTCTAGTGGACACTGGAGGAACTGCAGCTGTAAAGTTAGACATTTTAACATGGAGCTCTATGAGGACTGACTCACTGCAGGAGACAGACTCTAGTGGACACTGGAGGAACTGCAGCTGTAAAGTTAGACATTTTAACATAGAGCTCTATGAGGACTGACTCACTTATGATGCGCTGCCAGCTGCTCCCAGCATGCACTGGGGCTCAGGGTGGAAGTCAGAAACAAATGTTGTCCCCAAATTTAGAAGGAATTTGTTGAAACATGAAAGATCCTTCTGTCACGTCTTATCTTCATCATGTGACCTGAACACAACGCTGCCGACCTACACGCCACACCCACGGCCTCTATCTATTGTTACTGTGTGTGTGTGTGTGTGTGTGTGTGTGTGTGTGTGTGTGTGTGTGTGAGGACTGCTGGATTGATGACCATGAAGTCGGTCTCTGCTCTGGTTGTAATTAAATATTTGAACAGTTTGTTGATTGACAGACTGACGGCTGATCTCAGTGAGTACTCCTCTTTCTCCTCTCACATATAAACATTTAGATTCCTCAGATATCTATGTGTGGGATCTACATGTTTCAGTTAAGGTCCAGATAAACATCTTTAAGATATCAGAGACTGAGTCAGACCTGAGGTGATAAATATCTGCTCGTTTAGAAGTCTAACTCCTTTAATGTCTGTGACACATGTACATGTGTCTTCAGTGTTTGGTGTAAAGCTTTTGACAGTCTGTGTGTCAGAGACAGGAACAGCCTGCACAGTTTGGTAAAGGTTACTTGTGTCCTCTGTGGGAGGGGCAGATGGTCCATGAAGCCAAAAGGAATAATGTTCCAACGCGACCACATCCTGTCCTCTGAGGTTACCCTAATGCCCTCAGGCGTCCGCTTCACAGCGCCCCTCTGAGAAACAAACCTCTAAACCTTTCCTCCCCTCGACCATTCGGCTGTTAAACCTTGATAGTCTTCTAACTTCTCGTTTTGTGACCCTATTTCCATATTTATTCTTACAAATTTTTGGTCAATGTCCACTTTGAGCTCTATCACCTCGTTTCTCATTTGGGACGTAATTTCATCTTCATATTCATCAGTTTTTAGGTCTGTTTTGCATGTTTTGGATCTGTTTGCTAATGCCATCCAGACTGCTTTCAAATGAGGCCATGCTATCGCTAGCTTCAGGTGCTAGCATGTTCTTCTCCGTAGTTGGGCACTTTTTCTCTTTACCTGGAATTTCAGGGGTTTTTTTTGCTCTTGGTTTTTGTTAGACCTCCGCTCATATTCAAAGGTCCTTGGTCCCTAAGTGTTTATTTCTCGAGTGTTGGTGGAGTTTATCTGGTTGGCTTAGAGGAGCTCACGGCTTAAGCGTCCATGCTGCGCGACCGTCACACCGGAAGTCCCAAACCTTGATAGTCTTCACTCTGAATGAAAGCGTCCTATCGTGTCCCGTGTTTGACCACATGGTGGTTTATTCCTGTGACTCCTGCGTCGGCTGCCTGTACGTTCTTTAAATGTAGTCTTACAGTCTGATGCACATACTACAATATCTCCGTTACGTTTTTATTACTACAATTCTACAATTCACTTAGCAGACTCTTTTCTCCAAAGCGACGTACATCAGAGAGGAAGAACAACACAAGAGAGGATCTAGAAAAAAGGGAACAATGTGAGTAAGAGCAAACGATCAGCTTTGAGTCTGATTGGACACACAGGTGCTGACAGGAAGTGACCACAGGTGCTGACAGGAAGGGACCAGAGGTGCTGACAGGAAGTGACCACAGGTGCTGACAGGAAGTGACCACAGGTGCTGACAGGAAGTGACCACAGGTGCTGACAGGAAGGGACCACAGGTGCTGACAGGAAGTGACCACAGGTGCTGACAGGAAGTGACCAGAGGTGCTGACAGGAAGTGACCACAGGTGCTGACAGGAAGTGACCAGAGGTGCTGACAGGAAGTGACCACAGGTGCTGACAGGAAGTGACTACAGGTGCTGACAGGAAGTGACCAGAGGTGCTGACAGGAAGTGACTACAGGTGCTGACAGGAAGTGACCAGAGGTGCTGACAGGAAGTGACTACAGGTGCTGACAGGAAGTGACCACAGGTGCTGACAGGAAGTGACCACAGGTGCTGACAGGAAGTGACCACAGGTGCTGACAGGAAGTGACCAGAGGTGCTGACAGGAAGTGACCACAGGTGCTGACAGGAAGTGACCACAGGTGCTGACAGGAAGTGACCAGAGGCAAAGCACAACATTGAGGGCAGTTCTTGAGAGCTCTAATCAGTATAGAAACCATCTTATAAGTCGTCGTTATCAAACAAAAACCATCGTCATTACCATCATCATCATCAATAACATGGAGACCATCATCATCATCAATAATATGGAGACCATCATCATCATCAATAATATGGAGACCATCATCATCATCAATAATATGGAGACCATCATCATCATCAATAACATGGAGACCATCATCATCATCAATAATATGGAGACCATCATCATCATCAATAATATGGAGACCATCATCATCATCAATAATATGGAGACCATCATCATCATCAATAATATGGAGACCATCATCATCATCATCAATAATATAGAGACCATCATCATCATCAATAATATAGAGACCATCATCATCATCAATAATATAGAGACCATCATCATCATCAATAATATAGAGACCATCATCATCATCAATAATATAGAGACCATCATCATCATCAATAATATAGAGACCATCATCATCATCAATAATATAGAGACCATCATCATTACCATCATCATCATCAATAATATGGAGACCATCATCATCATCAATAATATGGAGACCATCATCATTACCATCATCATCATCAATAATATGGAGACCATCGTCATTACCATCATCATCATCAATAATATGGAGACCATCATCATCATCAATAATATGGAGACCATCATCATCATCAATAATATGGAGACCATCATCATTACCATCATCATCATCAATAATATGGAGACCATCATCATCATCAATAATATGGAGACCATCATCATCATCAATAATATGGAGACCATCATCATCATCAATAATATGGAGACCATCATCATTACCATCATCATCATCAATAATATGGAGACCATCATCATTACCATCATCATCATCAATAATATGGAGACCAT